TCGCGCAGAGGGTCCGCCAAATTAAGTGCTGTTCCAAACCAACGAGTGTGGAGCGGTGTGGAGGGGGAGTGGGCTATCAAGCCCTCAAACAGCGAGTCTGCAGCGGTGCTGACTTGAGATCGGCCTCTACCTGACCGGAGTCCCGCTGTGTGTGTCCGTCAGGAAACACGCTGTTAACCTCTTAAGCCCTGAGCCTGTTTTTCAGGTTTCAGGCTCCAAAATGCCACTAACACAGCAAAGACTATATCTTCACTTCTAAAAGGGGTAAATTAATAATCTTTTCTCTCAAAGCAAGGTTACATCTGTGAGCTGGATGTAGAAGTGTCAGAATCAATATAGATGTTTTTATTTTAAAGTAAATTCAGATGGAACATAGTAAAAACATGTACATTATAATGTCCGCCTAAAAAAAACCCATTACTTATAGTGAAAACCACCCTTGAATGATGGGTTAGTAGACTAAAAGCTTTAGGAATCCAAACTATAACATATAAGTCCCCTGTATCAAGATTGATGCAAAACAAGTGAAATATGACCTTTTTAGAGTCCAGGCGGACTCACCTCTGGGTAATTGTGGAACCATCAGTTCCATTTGACCTTTTTCACTGTAAAAATCCTTTTATTACTTAGAATTATCACTATAGGTATTCATTCCATCCAAATACAACTGTTTTGAAAAAATTAAAAAATTAAAAAAACATACTCTGTTATCCTCTTAGGCACAATGCTAACAGTGAGCCTCTGGATTAGCCCCGAGCGAAAAATGCTAACCTATTACTGCACATAAAATTACTCCTAGCCCCCTTATTACTTATCCTAGCTGCACATGCAACACATCGTTTATGATCATAAAGATACAGAATCTAACGGTGCTCACCTCAACACTGAAAGATACAAACTCGCGACGTTATCAACAAAAACGTAAATCAAAAGAAGTGGCGCTAGGTAGCTAAATGCTAACGTGGCTTACCTTTGTCTTTGTCTGGTCTAAACTGGTCTTCAATGGCATTAAAACGATAACAACGATGATGTAGTTAATCCATAGGTTAATATCCAATGTGGCTGTGTCCCCTTTGAAATGTTCTGATAATCTATAAGCAATAAAACTGCAATTCCGTTATCTGCTGTCCGCTCTGTGCTCCGTGCGCTCTGGGTCCTGCAATTCCTGCTTCCTTACGTAGTAAACAATAAGTAAAGTCTGCTGCGTAAAGTGCTTACGCCGGCTGGCATTCTTCATACTTTACGCAGGACCATATCTCTGGAACCCATTGGTCGATTTGGGTGATTTACACCTTTTTCTTAACCATTACATCCAATAGAATCGATGGGCAGTTCCCAAATCCACGTAAACATTACCATTGCGGACGTAATAGAGAAGCAAACGAAGCATATCTGAAAGTACAAGCCTGGACGGCAAAACTTTATACCCAGTATATTGCCATAAATATGATGGTGGATTATCAGTAAAAAATTCTACGTGACACAAAGACATTGGATTAACCTTGAGCGGCGTTTTTATTCCGTTGAACACAACTTTTGATCACATATCAAAAAAGGTAAGACTTAATTATTGTAATATTTTTGAAACCGGATGTTGTTTACTTTCTCTTTTCTGGCTGATAGCTCCCGAATTCGGGGTCGTACAGTGATGACATTACATGTGTGGAATCTGTGGAGTCTCAGTTTTAATCGGATATCTTGTTTGTGCAGTGACGATAAGTAATAAGGGCATTGCTACCGTGAGTGCTGTGCAAAAGTCCGTTAGCATTAGTTAGCATTTTTTCGCTCCATGCTAATTCAAAGGCTTGGTATTACTCTTGTGTTTCTTTTAGCTAAAAATGGTTAATATTGTCAGTTAGCTGAGTTTCTTATCGTTAAAAGGGTATGGAACATTAATAGTTTCATAAATGTTAAGAAGCCCTGAGACCTAGTCTCGTAAAAAAACGGTGGGAGGGGTCCACTGGGGGGACCCTCGGGCTTAAGAGGTTATATTCTTTGTCTCTTACAAGGACACTTTTCATTTTATTATAATGTAGTGTTGCTAATAAAGATTATCGTGTCCTTGCCTCTGGAGAAGGCAACTTGTGAGGGTCCAAACCATCGGGGGGCTTGGTGAGCAGTTTGTCCCCCAGGATGGTTCTCAGGTGTCGGGCCATCACCGTCTGCTGCTCCACGGAGCAGTGGTTCTCCAGGGAGAGGATCAGAGGGTAGGGGGACGCCTGAGAGAGAGAGGGGGGGTGGGACACATCAGGGGGGAACGTTTTCCATTTAGGAGAACAGGGGAGGAAAAATATCTAAAGGACAGTCAGCTAAATTGTTAATATACACCTAACCCCTATACTGTTTTGTTTTTAGAAGTATATGAACTTAATTAAACTAATTTTGGAACCTTTTTATACTCATCTGCAGAGGAGGAAGAAGTACTAAAAGTACAATAGTGGAGGAATGCTCAGGACTTTTACTCTGTTTAAGTAAAAGTCCTGTATTCAAAATGTTACTCAAGTAAAAGTACAATACCAAAAGTAAAAGTAGTCATTGTGCAGATTGGTCTATTTCAGAATAATATATATAGTTTATGTTTTGACTATAATTATTAATGTGTATATATATATACAGCTGATTATCACAGCTGTGATTACTTTATTTACTGCTGGGAGCTTGTGAACTTAATCAAGTTGTAACCAAAGCTTTATTTAAGTGTTGATTATATATACTTTAAGTATAAGTACAAGTAAAGTGATAATACCTCAAAATTCGACCACTGCTCATCTGTACCTGATATCTCTGTATGAACAAGTCTAATAACTTGAGGCCTGTATATTTTGTACCTTGATAGTAAATTCATTCCAATAAAGTACTCACTTTGAAAGCATAGTCATTGATGGTCTGAATGACCTCGACAAAGGGCACTTTGGAGGTGAGAGTGTGTCCATGGTAGATGACTGGCTCTCCTTTATCTCCATCCCAGCAGTCCAGCTCCACACAGCGGCAGCCATGTTTCAGGGCACTAAGAGAAAATATGTAATTTAAGAGTTATTAAATAATATGTGCCTTATATTCATTTCAATTTGTTTGGATTGCACCAACATCCAGAGATAATCAGCGTACTGTCTCAGCATGCAACCCTTTCAAAACGCACCAAGGCCCTATAGGCATCCGTTTAATATTTAAACATTTAGTGCAGCATTTATCTCATGTTGCTGCCTTTGTGCCCCCCTCTGAACTCTGCTTCGCCCCCCTGGGGATGTGTTTCTCCCAGTTTGAATATCTCTGTTCTAAAGAGAGCTTCAAAAGGTCCTCCCTATCAGGGCCTGAACCCCTTCAGCCATGGATCTATTCTGAGAACAACTAGTATTCTGAACTTGTGTTCATACAAGTAAAAATTGTCATTTTATGGCTTGATTTGTTTTTCTGTATAATGTCACTAAATTGCTTTGTTCATTTTGCACTAACATTCTTAATTAAAAGAAAAAACCTGTTTATTTTGTATTTCATTCACACAGGAGTAGAGACAAAGACGTTTTAGCATGTGTTGATTTCATATGAACCTTTTATTTATTGAATAACCTAAAACCATGCCGTATTGTGTATTGTGCAATATTACCTAGCCTTACTGCTGTGTGTGTGTGTGTGTGTGTGTGTGTGTGTGTGTGTGTGTGTGTGTGTGTGTGTGTGTGTGTGTGTGTGTGTAGACGACGTCGACGAACGACA